TTCGTTCGTTCGTTCGTTCGTTCGCTCGCTCGCTCGCTCGCTCGTTCGTTCATTCGTTCGTTCGTTCGCGTTCGTTCGTTGGTTCGCTCGATCGATCGTTTACTTATTTCTCCCTTCCTCCCTTTTATATTATTTTCCCTTTCTTTTTCTTTTAAATTAAAGGAGTATACGTCGTTAAAAGTGACTCAACAAACGAAGAGCTTCGAGAATACTTAAAACATTTCAACAGTAATCGACACCATGTGACAAACCCTGATGGCAAGACACATGCACGTGACTTCATCCGGGACACATTCAATTCCTTTGGACTTCATACTTGGACGGAATCGTTCCTTCCCAAGCCTCCTGATAAAGAGGTACATAAAACAGTTAGCCATTCCAAGGTTAAGGAATGTGGGGCTGTTTTGCGGACATTTCCAAGATGGCGTCTCTTTTGTCAACTCATCCCACAATGCATTGCAATGGAAACTCGACCCAATTTTTTCCCTCATTCTAGGAATGGCTAATTCTTTGCTTTCACGTGACAGTAGCAAAAAAAACTATTCACTCCACAAAACTGTTAAATATTTGATTTATACCGATGAAATCTCTTACCAAATGTTTTTGTATTATCGATTTTTGGTTTTAGATTTATTGTGAGTCAAATGCTGTCACACAGTTTTGTCATTCATTTTTAAAGCATTAGAAAAAGGGGAATTCGATTGAAATAACACAGCCTAAACATGATTTTCAACCTTCGTGATTTGGCCGCCATGTTTGTGCACCTCAATGGGACACCAAGATGGCGGACCCTTACATTTCAACTAAATTTTGAGCATAATCAATCGCTCGTTTCTTCTTGTCTAAAACTTTGTTTTACTAATGTGGCTGAGATATACTGTTTGTTTAGGTAGCTACAGGAGAAAATATCATTAGCTTGTTACCTGGGAGATTTGCTGGTACACGTGACGACAGGCTGATCTTGATTGGCTCACATTATGACACCATGCGCAGAACCACAGGAGGTGTTGACGACAACGGATCAGGCGTGGTTGCCTTGCTGCGAGTAGCAAGACTGCTGACCGCCAAATGGGGTAAGTCAGTTACTACTAATAATGATGATCGGATAATGATGATATGATAATCATCAGTATTAATAGTTAATATGTGAACAATTTAATATTCAATATGAAAACTGATTTCACTCAAAGATATTAGTTAGCAATACATTTAATCATTCCAGTCACATACAATCCATCGCAGTCACAGCCAATCCGTTCCAGTCACATACAATCCATCTCAGTCACATCCAATCCATTCCTGCAGTAACATCAAAGCCCAATCCAATTGGTTTAAGTCATCAAACATTATTTTCTTATTACAGCCAAATGCACTCGTGAATATTCTGTCATGTTTGTCGCCTTTGACTTTGAAGAGTGGGAGAACAGCTTATTACCAGGCTGCGCATGTTCAAGTTTAGGGTGTGGAAGCCGTGCTTTTGTGGGCAACTTCAGTCAGTATTACAATCTGTTCCCCAACATGTCTATCGCTCGTTACGGTCAGCTTCAGGGTGCTATTATCATGGACACTATGATGAACTACAACTCCACTCCTTATTCCCAGCACATGGAACCGAAGGAGCAGCAATTAATACAAMAAGTATTCCCAGAACAGTACAATGCCATCGCTAATAACCGCTTTAAAGGGGACTTCTTAATCCTTGTAGGACGATATTTAAACGATGACCAGTTGATTAATGCTTTTTCCTATTACTACAAGAAAGATAAACCAAAGTACAAGCTGCAAGTTTTTCCACTTCCTTTTGATGGACCACCAAGCAAAATTCTTAACACTGATAAATTGTCCCCGTTCCTCAGGAGCGATCACGTCAGTTTCTGGAACAGAACTACATCCAACAGAGCCATCTTCTTGAGCGATACGGCAAACATGAGAAGCTACATGACAACCTGTTATCATGAGGACTGCGATAACATGAATCACGTGACTGACGACTTCCTTGGATTCTTGTCCAAGTCATGTGACACAATCGTCATGACAACTGATGATCTAACTAAAGCCAGATGTAAGACGAATTCACCACCTCAAGGTATGACCCAGTTTTTCCTCAACCTCGTAGTGACTAAAGTATTGTGCACATTTTCACTGATGGTAATGTTTTGTTATATTTCTAGAGAGTTCTGAAATGTCTACAGGTGGTAGTATAGTACTAGGCATGTTTATTAGCTCAGTGATAGCCGCTATTGGTGCTTGCTGCTGGTGTTGCAGAAAGAAAAAGTTCAATGATGATTTGGTGGCGAACGAAGAATTGCCGAATCGAAGCGCTACGAACCCTGTGTTTGTGGGTAGTGAATCAGAAGGAACCGGAAACACAGGAACCGGAAACACAAGAACCGGAAACACAAGAACCGGAAACACAGGAACCGGAAACACAGGAACAGAAACAGAACCGAATGTATATGAAGCAGTAGAGCCGAGATGGAATATAAACGAGGCGTCAGTCAGAAGACCTGCAACGAGAAAGCCTGGAAAAAGCGGCACTTCTGAAACGCAGGGGACTGGATCAAGAGGAAGCGGAAACCACGGGCGTGACTCCATTGCTTAGATTCTTAAAACCGTTAAGTTTAGGAGCAAGGCTGCTGCATCACGTCATAGCGTAGGACACAATAATGACAGACCTAGGGTCCAAACTAAGTGAAAGCCCAAAAATGACATTAGATTTTAAGGGGGAAGGCATCCGGATAGCCCGCTAGAAATAACAAAACTTGCACAGACCGAAAGAGCAACCAATACTATATATCTCTGCAAAGTTCTAGCTAAAAGAAGTTTTAGTTACGGAGTTACGAGCGATTGATTACACTCATAATCACATCCTTTTTGTAATCACTACCAAATCCTGCAATCTGATTGGTTCAAAGGAGTGCGATTAATTCCCAAATCGCATCCTTAGGAGCTCTTAATCGCATTCTAAAAAAAAAATTTTAAACAATAAAATAAGACAAAAAATAAAATAAAAAGTTTTTTTAGATGTTTTTTTTTTTGTGTTCGCATTTAGTTCTTCTACTACATTAAACTGATTATTCTGCACTCTTTATTGTGCCTTTTTCTTATGTATGATTACAAAAAGGATATGATTAAGTGGTAATTGAACTTCGTGTCGTGCAATTTTGGTCTGAAATCAAACTTGCAATTACAAATCACACTCCCGCTACGCGGTCGTATGATTTTGTAATCGCGCGTTTGATTTCAGACCAAATTGCACTCCACTCAGTTCAATTACCATTATTAATTTAGTTGAAATGTAAGAATCCGCCATCTTGGTGTCCCATTGAGGTGCACAAACATGGCGGCCAAATCACGAAGGTTGAAAATTGTTTCGTTTATTGACGAAATGTTACAAGCTACGGTTTCAGAACTAATTCTCTTCGCGAGTTATATACGAGTTGGTTCGAAATCTAAAAAATGCGAAGCAAAATAAAGCGTTACTTGTGTAGAAAAATATATATAAAGTTTAAGCGATCTGACTTACCCGGTAGCTTGCTCTGAAACTCGACGAACTGAATTTAAATTAGCGTCACTTACTTATATACAAATGCGACTTAATCCGAGGCAAGCTACTCGTGCGTGCGTGCAGAAAGGAATCTATTATTAAATTCATGCTTTTCGCGCATAACGAAACAAAAATCATGTTTATATCGCAATCACTTCAATGTTTCATTAACATAAACATCATCTAAACAAAGTTACAAATAAGTTACTTAGTTAAAAACTGTCATTTTCTTCCTAACTTCCCTATTATTAATGCTCCCGGGAATGCTTGAAGACGCGTGACAAAATTGGAAAAGCCATACATCGACAATGAAACTTTTGTTTAGAAGGCTTTCTCATAAAAGTTTAAATGATTCGACAAAAACTTTTGCTGAGAGAATACTTGGGATTTTAGTTGTTTTTTTTTAATGACGTCACGTCAAAGCCAAGCATAGCAAAAGTCAGGGAATTTTCATTCGTACGAATGGCATGAAACCGTGCAGTACAGTGACTATTAGCGCAGTTTTCGTATGACTGTGAAAAGGTTCAGTGCCGTAAGCGTGACGTGCCGTGACCGTGATACTTTCTAAAATTTTATTTTATTATTTTATTGGCTGATTTTTTTCACGCGCAATATGATTGGTCTAAAAGTGCCTTGATCTTGGCGTGACCGTGTCCGCGCCGTGTTTATGCCGTGTTCCGGGTATTTGATTGGATGGAGAATAAATTCTCGTGCGATGTGATTGGTCTGGCGCATCCCTTGCTGTGTCACGACCGTGTTCGTGCCGTGAACTTTTCACAGTCATGCGAAAACCGCACTACTTCCTCTTTGAACTAACCAATTAGTGGAGGGGACGTAAATCAAACATAAATGTATTTGTGAGTGACGGCATGGGCTGAATATACATTCACGAATGATTGACTTTCTTCTGAAAACATCCCTAAAATGTTAATTAAAAGTCGTTGGTAGTCGAGCTTTGTCGTCTTACGGTGGTCGCTGTATAAGATACGGTCGCAAAAAAAACTCTTAAAGATGTTACAACGTTTAATTTTTTTTAAAAATAAAGTTGACCTACATTTGGTTATTATAGTTTATGGTCTGCACTGTAAGTATTCTCTTGTTTTGCAAACGATACAGTATCTCATTTCTACTTCTTGAAAAGAATGAAAAAGCTTAATGTTAAAAAGTGCATTTGGATTTCAGGAACTGAATTGTACAGAAAAAACACGAACTGTAGTATTCAAAAAACCTTTTCAAATTGTTCGTTTAATTTTTTCAGTGTTATTTTATTTAGTTAAATCCATTAGTTAATTGAATACTATCATTAAACCCGTTATTTTATTTGCCTAGCTATAAATTACATTTTCTTAAAATACTGCTTTTGCGGGCGTATCAAATTCCATCGTAATGAAACTGGTTTTTAAAGGTATTCACTTATCAAGAAACAATCATGTTATTTATACTATACGTGTCTTTTGGAATAACGATTGCGATCGAAATTAATATCAAAATATTGTCGTTTGTGTGAAAAACGGTTTCAATTAATTTCTCGTACGAAGAATATATATTTTAAGTTTTTCAACTTCCCGTATTTTTGATTCAAGTCAATTTATATCCTCAAATCATTATTTTGTCTTCAAGGGCTTCGGAAAACTAGCTTAATAATAGTTATTTAGTTATCATGAATCATTAGCCATCAGTTTATGGGCCTTTCCGCAGTATTAGTCGAGTAATGTTTTADGGAGAAAATATTTGTGTGCTATACCACACGTTTGAAGATAGTTTTAGGAATAACAACATAGGTAGATGAAACTATTTGCATGGTTATCGATGAGGAAGAGATCAAATATTGACTCCAAATACTTGAGTACTGAGGTTTGGGTCACGTAACCTTTATGATATGCTTTGTTGATTAAAATCAGACATCATAAAATTAATGAGCTTGTTCCTTGGAATCGATTTGCCAGAAAAAATTTAGATACTTTTTCTTT